GGTACCCCTGGACCCATCGATTTGCTTCTTGGTGCCGATGCCTTTCCAAATATATTATCTAGTGGCCGTATGGTCGGAGATAATCTAGAACCTTCTGCCATCGAAACTACATTTGGTTGGGTTTTGATGGGGCGTACAAACTCATCTAACTCCTCTTGTCTCAATTCGCTTCTCTGCTCTTGCTCTAAGGTCAATCCATCTAACCTCGACGATACTTTGAAGGCCTTCTGGGAAATTGAGGATATTCCTCGTCAGAAGGTTTTATCTCCTGATGAAATTCTTTGCGAAAAAATCTACTCAGAAAATGTTCGTAGAGATGATAGTGGCAGATATATCGTTCCACTACCCTTTAGAGAATCCAATCCAATTTTTGGTGACTCTCGATCACTCGCTTTACGGAGATTCCTATCATTAGAGCGACGACTCATTCGGAATCCTTCCTTGTATCAAGCGTACTGTGATTTCATTCGCGAATATCTCGACAATGATCATATGGAACTCATTTATGAGGGTGCTCAGATCTCTAATACCTATTATATTCCTCATCACTGCATTATGAGGCCAGAGAGCCTTACAACCAAATTAAGAGTGGTGTTTGATGGTTCAGCTCATCCCCCTAATGAACGTTCTTTGAACGATAACCTTCTCATTGGCCCAAAATTACAACGTGATATTAACTCCATCCTGTTGAATTTTCGGTTACATTCCTTTGTATTTACTGCTGATGTGAAACAAATGTTTCGTCAAATCTTAGTTACTCCAGACCAATGTGACTATCAAAGGATTTTCTGGAGGTTTTCTCCGAATATCTCTGAATATCGTCTGAAAACAGTAACATATGGCACAAGTTCTGCGCCATATTTGGCATTACGTACTCTCTCTCAACTTGCCATTGATGAAAGCAATGAATTCCCGTTGGCATCTCAAGTCCTACAAACCTCAACATATGTTGATGACATAGTAGTGGGAACTGACTCTTTAGAATCGGCACTTCGCCTTCGAGATGAATGTATAAACATTTTGAAACGGGGAGGGTTCGAACTTCGAAAATGGGCTAGCATTGATCCCAAGATCTTAGTTGAAATTCCATCTGAGCATCTTCAGACACAAAATTTATCATTTGAATCAGAATCTGATGAAGCTATCAAGATTCTGGGATTACAGTGGCATCCCTCGACCGACGTTTTCTCATATTTAGTTAAACCTCGAAATATAGAACTAACCAAACGAGCACTTTTATCTGAATGTGCACGAATATTTGACCCGCTCGGGTTCTTATCCCCTATTACATTCTTCGCGAAATTACTCATCCAACAGCTGTGGTGGCTAGGCCTTGGTTGGGATGATTCTCCACCTCAGAATATATTAAATCGCTGGGCTGAGTATAAGGAGCAACTTCCTCGTCTATCTCTATTGAAACTTCCCCGTCGTATTCTTATTGACTCTTATGATTCTATTGATCTCCACGGATTTTGTGACGCTTCGGAAAAGGGGTATGCTGCCGTTATTTATTTCCGGGTGGTGCACGCCACTGATATTTTCACCTCTCTTGTATGTGCTCGATCAAAGGTTGCCCCACTCAAAAGAATTTCCCTCCCGCGTTTAGAACTTTGCGGCGCTCTTCTTTTATCTGATTTGGTCGCTATGGTCACTCGGTCTTTGGATTCAACCATCATACTCAATAAAATATATGCCTGGTCAGACTCTATGGTGGCTCTAGAATGGATTGGTGCATCTCCACATAAATGGACAACATTTGTGAGCAACAGAGTCACTAAAATTCAGGAAAAAATACCCCCTTCAAATTGGTATCACGTAAGGTCGGCGGACAACCCCGCAGATTGTGCCTCCAGAGGATTATTTCCGGAAGCACTACTCAATCATCCCTTATGGTGGGCAGGTCCACCTTGGTTATCCTCTCCAGTGGATCAATTCCCAATTTCATCCCATCCTCGTCTCCTGATGTGACAGCGGAAGAAAGAACCATAAATCTGTCATCCCTCGTTCAGCAGGATACATCAATAGTTGATTTTTTGTTGAACAAGTACTCGTCTTTAGAAAAAATAAAAAGAATATTTGCCTATGTTTTGCGATTCATATTCAACTTGAAGAATCCTGAACGAAAACAGAACGATATTCTAACTATCACGGACACCCATCAAGCTCTAATGAAACTTGTTAAAATTGTGCAGTACCAAACTTTTTCTCAAGATATCTCCCTCATAAAAAGAGGTCATCTCTCATCTAAACCACTCAGGAGGCTCAATATTTTTCTTGATTCTGATAACCTGTTGCGCGTTGGTGGACGATTGAGGCATGCTAATATATCTCCAGACTCTAAACACCCTGCTCTTCTCCCTCGTCACCATCGTCTAACATTCCTAATAATCGAAAACATTCACCAAATATATCTTCACCCTGGCATCCAAATGGTGCAGTACTTATTAATGCAACAGTTTTGGGTTATCGCTTCAAAACAGGCTATTCGTAGCATTTTGTCCAAGTGTCTTCGATGTTGGCGTTTGAATCCTCGACCCTTGCAACCTCCTATGTCAGATCTTCCCTCTAATAGAATATCTCCTATTAAACCATTTTCATGCGTTGGAGTTGACTATGGTGGCCCGATTTCTATTAGACACAGCAAAATCAGAGGGGCCAAGATCTTGAAATCCTACATATGCCTCTTTGTCTGTTTTGCGACAAAGGCATTGCATATCGAGCTGGCATCAGACTTATCTACAGAGGCTTTCCTAGCCGCCCTTAGACGATTTATAGCTCGTCGGGGTCGTTGTGCTGAAATTCACAGCGATTGTGGTACAAATTTTGTTTCAGCCAAAAAATATCTGTCAGACATTATGCAGTCGTGTTCTGAAAATGAACGCATTAAGTGGGTCCTGAACCCTCCTTCCAGCCCACACTTCGGCGGCCTACATGAAGCAGGCATCAAGTCGGTTAAAACCCATCTCACTCGAGCAGTTGGAGACCAAGTTTTAACGTACGAAGAACTGAATACAGTTTTGATTCAGGTAGAAGCGGTATTAAACTCTCGGCCATTATGTCCCCTCAGCTCCGATCCAAATGATTTAACTGTTTTGACCCCTGGTCATTTTTTGTCATTAGAACCATTGAATGCCATACCAGACTATGATGTTTGTCATCTATCTGTCAATCGCCTCAATAGATGGCAATTATTACTTCACATCCATCAAAGTTTTTGGAAGCGATGGCAACGGGAGTATTTACACACATTGCAACAGCGTGGAAAATGGCATCTCCCAGAAGTTGAAATTTTGCCAAATACTTTGGTCTTAATAAAGAACGAACAATTACCTCCACTTAAATGGCAAATGGGGCGTATTTTGGCAGTGCACCCAGGGCGGGATGGCGTAACTCGTGTCGTCACTGTGAAGACGATAAATGGCACCTTCACACGACCAGCGGTGAAAATTTGTCCGCTGCCGTTTACTAATTGAGCGTTCATTCAGATATATTATATATTCCATTTATAGTCACATATACCTATATAAAATATATTTTTATTTTTTTTGTTTATGAAATGCTACACATTTCCTAGGTGGGCAGAATGTTTAGTTTTGTAGTTTCTCAATTGATTTAGAAATAATTCAAAATAATATTTAGTACTAGTTTATTGAAACGAACTTCAATAATTATAATTAAAATTATTTTTCGCGTCTTTATATGGTAGAATTTGCTATAAAGCTTGGCAACGCCGGAAAAGGACAGAAAAATTATTATCAACTCAGCATCGCGTGTGTATATCGCTACCGGCCTCTCAAAATTTTATAAACCTATTAAGTCATAACAAACTCCAAAATTGTAGTTTTTTACTCCTTCGTGAACCCATTGAAGTGAACCAGCACCGTATCCAGCCAGGGCTAGCCCGAAGCAACCACATTACGCAATCCAGGTGAGCATTTTCTACCATCGAACTAAATTGCATATTATTCAAATTGGTGAACTCAAGTCAAGATGTATACTTGATATGTCACAAAACTACCTTCTCCCTAGTTCTTTTTAAAGCCTTTTCACAACAGAACATTTTCAACGCGTCTTGCGCACATTGAATCGCTGTAAAAAAACCATTTTCGAGGTACTTTTCTGAAGCCTTTTGTCAAAATGAACTTTTGCTTAGGATTCCATTTCCCTTGAATGAAAAAATACATTAAAAATAGATTGAACATAAAAATATTTTCTTGATATGAAATTGCCTTCTTAATCGGTTTCTGAGTAGTGCTTACTACACACAGACATATATAATTGGAAATAGGTTTCCCAATTTTTGAAATGTTCTCCACAATGCATAATTTTGCAACTACGGAGAAGATGTGTGTTGATGAATTCGTACTTTTATATATTGATTACACTGAGGCACCGAACACATCTTGCATCTGATGGTCATTATTACAAACTAAATGAGTCTTCTAACACAATAAACTTCACCAAATTCCTTTCTGTTCGTTAGCAGCGTGATGTGAGCGTGACACGCTGCAAACGTGAATGCTAATTGCGAACAAGAAGAACAAAATCGAAAACAAATCAGAATTCATCGTATTGTGACGTAAGCATGAGACGTTGTGGTGGGGCAAACAAAGAAAGGGCACAAAAGAACAAAAACAATACTTTCAATATCCTTCTAAGACCTCTCTGGGAAGTGCGTATTACGCCTCAAAAAAACATCCTCATGCCTACATTTCTAAAACATCCCAAAACATCCCAGGGATGCCTCTCAGTAGGCAAACGAAGAAATGCCACAGAAGAACAAAAACAATACTTCAATATCCTTCAAAGACATCTTTGGTCAGTGCATATTACGTCTCAAAATAACATCTTCATGCCAACATTTTCAAAACATCCCAAAACATCCCAGGGATGTTTGTGCTCGCTGGGAATACTACACAGGGTGTTTTTCATAAGCGTCACTGTCACTGATGATACCTCATACTGAGTGTTGGCATACCTTCATACATGGAAATACTCACCTGTTTCAATTCCTTCCTTATAGACCTTGTCAAATCCACCGAACGTTTGTGCAAATACTTTATAGCGACGATGTTCCCTTTGTAGAGCCCTATAGTCGTATAAGCACGCTTGGGAGATTGTTCAGAGACATCTACAATGCTGCTGGTCGGTGCATGGAAGACGCTGTGTCTGCATACTCTTATCTACAACCGATATTAGGAGGAATCGAAGATCAGATGATATCGATGGCCAACTACGAAATAGGCACAATGCTCACAGTGTAGTGAAATATTAAATAAATACAAAAAGCTCAAAGTTATGCTCCCGAAAAATATGCATATTTAGCTAGGTCACGCTAGACACCTACAGATTGGTTTCCAGCCAGCAGTCTTTTAGACTTTTAATATTTGTTTGGCTAGGCTACGCTTAGTCGGTGGTCTCAAGACTGCTGGCTGGAGACTACCCTGCGCTGATGAGTCAAAGAGCTAGAAATCGTTCTGTAGGTGTCTAGCGTGAACTGGCTGAATCGAAATCGATAGGCATTCAGGAAAGAATCACTTATATGAGTATTCGTTTATTCGAGTCGATGCATAGATTTTGGGAGGATGTAATTCAATGTTCTGCGTGGCATTACCCAGGGAAGTAGTTGTTTTCCTCCCGAAATCTACCATTGTTGTTCATTTTATGAACATTGTGTCGACACGACTTTGAGCTTTTTGTATTCATTTGATATCGATGGTGCCTATAAGGGAAGGAACTGAAAACACCACAAAAATGGAAAAACAAAAATTCAATTGCAACGAGTAGGAAAATTTCAACTTTTTTCACGAGTTTGGAAGTTTGAAATAAAAAAGGTACTTATCCCCAATTGTAGCACACTATACTTTTTGTACATCTCCACAAATTCAAAGAATACAAGTAATATAACTTGGTATTCATTTTATATTGATAGTACTTCTTAACATTGAATATTGGGACCAAAGAGTGAACGCCCTCGGAGTTTTCGACATCTCTTTAAGGTATATTGAAAGTAAAATATCCGGAAAAGATTTCAGTTCTGTATTATCCCCCTTTCCATTATAATATTTCGTATTTTTTCTTGAAATATCTGACATTACTTCTGCAGCTTCTTCCAATATCTCTGGCGGAGTATTATCAAAGTCGTCACTACTCTCAGTATCCATATATTATTTATTACGAATAGGTGTGTCTCATTGAAGTGATATTCAATGGAAACTGCGATCTATATCAAAGCACGAATGAAAACTTCCTTGAGAATTTGAAAAAACGTCTGCTGACAGTTGTGACAGCTGAACAGCAGTCAACTAAGATTTTGTCCATTTTTGTATATTTTCCATATAAATTTATGTGGTGTGGGCAAAGTCCCGTGAGGATAGTTATTCGTTTCACTAGCCAGCAAAGTAGTGGATTGACTGTCGTGGCAAAGACAGTTTATTCAGCTAAGCAGGTAGTCAATCTACTTTGCTGCCATGTGAAACAGGATTCTTCTCCAAATGTAATAAAACCAATTTTGTGTGATTTTTTTATTAAAAACTCCATCATTATGTGTTCACCCAATGTCACTGTCAATTTTGATCAGCAATTCCATTCAAATCACTTGAAACGTTGCATAGCAACAAACATTTTCTACCTAGGCCAAGAAAGTATACATATTTGCTGCCACTTTTTATGCCGCTTGGTTGCTCACAGTATAAGCAATAGGTACATGGTTTTGGAATTGAGTAAGCTATGAGAGATACGCTATTTTCCATATAGCAGTTGTGTGACCAGAAATTTCCACATAATATGTTCAATATAATGAACAACAATAATGGTAGATAACGAAAGAAAAACAACTACTTTCTTTTTATTAAGCATTGTATCAATTATGAATTATTTAACGATTCGTGTTTTTTCCGAAACGCCTTCCATGAGAAGTGAGAGGAGTTGTGCATTCTCCATATTCAAAAACACATAACTTCAGAAAAACAAAATGTCCATTCACGTCATTCAAATTTTTCTTAGTAATCATACAACATCAATACGATACTCCTTCAGAAGCTGGAAAAATGAGCTGGCACTCCTAGTGAAGATCTTTCAAATCCATTCAACCTAATTAATATTTGAACAACAATATTACATACATGGTGATTCAAAATTTGATGTGAATAATAAAAAATGAGATTTTTTCTGTGAGTGAACATGTGTTACGTAAAATGAAAATTTCAGGTATCTTCCACCATAATTTCTTAATTAAATTTTTGGCTCATTTGTTTTGCACTAACTTCTGACAATTACATACCTCATACCTATATCAAACACAGTCAAATGTTTTATCGCTTGAGGGATAATGTAATATGGTATTTCACCTCGAACTTTTCGAAATAATTAGGCATGAAATTATTTGAATATTGAAATTGTTTTATCATACCAGTCCACTTTCATGGACCATGGCTATAAATTTCTAGATGACAACCATTCATATGCAATTGATATCAACAATAATTTTAACCCTACATAAAAAGTGAAAAGAAACTCACCATATTTTTGTTTTCGTTTGACAGTTCTGTCGTTTCTGTGGGAATTATTATCACATCTTTCATATCGATTTTCCATAACAGGCACGCCAATTTTTGTTCGTATCGATAATGTCTGAAAAAAAAAATACAAAATTTTCCTAGAAACAAGACACGACACTGAGTCATTTCCACAAGTGTATCATCAGAATTATCTGAAAATGTTTCGGACTATTGTTTGTCCATCATCAGCAGTATGAAATAAAAACTTCCTACAAAGAAAAGTTTTGTATAACAAAATGTTTACCTTAGGTTATGTGAGAACTCGAGTGGAAATGACAAAAAACAGGCAACAGCAATATAATTAGTTATAAATAAGTTGCCTCCTTTTCTCATTTCCACATGAGTACTTGCATAACCTGAGGTGAAAATTTCACTATGAAAAACTTCTCGTTGTAGAAATGTCTTGATCCACATGTTCAGATAATTCTGATAATAAATTTGTGGAAATGAGTTAGTGCCGTTTCTTGTTTCGGAATCTCATTGACCCCACTTTGAGATATCATGGACTTAGATTAAAATTTTCCTAGCTCGACAGTTGTGAAATAAGCGATATAGGAAACATCTTCTACTTCATTTGAATCATTCAAACCACATTTAACTATTAATAAAGCATTGTATAGGAAAATCGAAATATTTTGCATCAAAACGTAGATCAATGAGTATAATGGACCAACGATATAAAATCATCAACATCCCATGGAAGTAGAGCTGTTTATTTATTTCTCCTAGTACGTAATCCACACATCAGAATTTTTCCTACTTGCAATTGGATTGAAAACTCGAAAGTGGGTATGCTTATACAAGGTGATTCTAAAATAGGTGGTCAAACTCTGGGAGCATATAGAGTGGGTGAAATGGTAACGAAAATCTCTGTAACATTTTTTTCTGAAGTGACTCCCAAGAAGGATACAGCCCCTCAAAGGGGGGCCTCGGAGAATGATTTTGTATTATTATCTCCAACACCTTGTATAATGAAAATCTGAAATCCACTAACTATTCAGTGCCGGTTCGAATGGAGTTAAAATCACCTCAAAATTAAATACAGGATACAGGGGTGTTACAAAATAGGGAGGTAGGGGGTAAAAATGACCCCAACTTTTTTGTTCATCGCAATTTCAGTTTTTTGACATGAAATTATGATTTCTCAGGGCTATTTACATAGAAAATGTGCTCTTGTTGCATCTCGATAAAATGAACTATTAGCGAATAAAATTCAAAAAAAGCTTGTCTTTAATAAATTTTTTATTTTAGTATTTTCAATAGGATCATACCATAATCACGAAACTCGTCGTCTATTTTGAATTCATGAATTCCAACAACGAATTCAGAATTTCCAACCCCAAAAACCCTTACAAACCAATTTTGAATCGAATCGAGACATAATCACAAATTTGGTCATCGCCACATTGGAGCCGGCATATTTTTTTCTATCAAAAAGTCCATAACGCGTTGTCAACTGTCATCTGCCAGATTCCAAGTCGATGAGACGATTAGAAGTAGGTAAAAATTCAGTTGCAAGATTTGAACTAGATAATTAAACTCAAGTGCATACCAAAATTGCAATTTAAATGAAATCTTGGAAGAATAAATTTCATTCGCTAATGGTTCAGTTTATCAAGATTCAACAAGAGCTCCTTCTCTATGTTAATAGCCCTGAGATTTCATAATTTCATGTAAAAGAACTTGAATTACTATGAACAAAAAAGTTGTGGTTATATTTACCCCCTACCTCCCGATTCTGACACACCCCTGTATTTAATTTTGAGGTGATTTTAACTCCATTTGAACCGGCACTGAATAGTAAGTGGATACCCAAAATTTTAGATTTTCATCATACAAGGTGTTGGAGATAATAATACAAAATCATTCTCCGAGGCCCCCCGTTTGGGGGATGGATCTTTCTTGGGGGGCACTTCAGAAAAAAATGTTACCAAGGTTTTCGTGATTATTTCACTCACTCTATATACTCCCAAAGTTTGACCACCTATTTTAGAATCACCTTGTATAATCGATCATTTTCAATCTATGGAAGAAGTCAATTGTCACTCAAAGTCGAGTGTTGTATTTCATAGATGAAGAACCCAAAGTAATCTCAAAATTTTTTATCAAATATTTCGGACTTATATAAGCCCATCATCAGCCGATAAGTAGTTCAAAGTCATGGAAGTGATTTTCAACATTTTCAACTTCCATAACTTCAAACTACTTTTCGGCTGAAGATGGGCTTATATTAGCGCGAAACATATATGCCTTTAATGATCTTTGATCATAATAAAAGTTGTGGAGATGACTGGGTCATTTATGATTTTCAATCTACCTGAGATATTTTCAGTTCTCCGGCTATAAAGAGTGTGTGTGAGGATATTTCGAATGTGTCGCACTGTATACAGAGTGTTCCTCAATGACATGCCAATCTTTAAGGGCGCGATTCTTGGACATATTCCATATTCATTTGATGAAAAATAATAAGTATTATTCAATTCAATCAATCGAATATATCGAAATGAATTATTGAGACCTCGGAGGCAAATGAAAAAGTGATAACATTCAGCCAATTGTTCATCCAGTGGCGTCGTTAGGGGATATTTTAATTTATATTTTACTCAAAATTGAGCTACTGAGGAAAACTTTCAAATTTAATACCATGCAATGAAAAATCATTCAATTCTGTACAAAATGGATCCATTTGTTGATACTTGATATGACGCTCTGTTTTCGAGAAAAAAACGGAAAAAGGAAACCTGCCTTCAAATTTTCATGTGAATGCTAAGCTGAGTACTTCATTCAGGATATCCATTACTGAAAAACTAAGTAGGTATGTAATATATTGGGATATTCGCACCGTTTGAGTCACATAGCAAACTAAATTTTGTCACCATTTTGTCCATGCATATTTTCAACTTTGACACCCTGTATGTCAGAAATTAGACGTTCACGATCCTTAAATTGGGTCTAAAAATGGGCCCCATCGAATATTATCATGTCTTCAAGAAACACCCTGTATAAGCATGAAAAATATCAATTATGAATCATCTTACTTGACAGCAAAAAGTATACCAACAATGACGATTGTCGATACGAGAATCATGCTTGCCACAATTTTCCAGTCGACTTTGTATATGCACTTCTGTCCATAGAATCCACATTTGGGTTCTGCTCTAGGCCGTTTTCCTCCTACCCACTGGATCGGTCTGGCCGAGTTGAAATATCTGAATTCCTGCAACGGACATGATGGTTTTCGAGGTGAAAATATTTTAGATCTGAAGCCCACAACGTACAATTCATGGCAGTTCTATGAAAAAACTTATGCAATAGAAAGTCAAATGTAAGAAGATTTTCATTTTGATATCCTTCTCATGGATGTTCAACAAATATGATTCAATTTTCGACGTGACAAATAGCTTTATGTTGGTTACTTAGAATGATATATACATATTCATTTTATCTGAAAGAGAATGCAGATTCCTAACTTCAGAAGATTTTATTCTCAAATTCTAATTGTGTGTGTTCAATAGATATATAATGCAACGTTCGTCGTGGCATATAGCCAGATTGTTTTGCTGTTGAATACTCAGAATGATATAATTTGCATAAACATATTTTATTCACAACCTTACAACATTATATATGTAATGTTGTCATTACTAACGTCATTGAAGGTTGGGAAGTGTCACATTACACACCTCTACTTCCCGCCCTCACTTCCCGCCCCTCACTACTTCCCACCCTCACTTTCCGCCCTCACTTATGTAATAATGCAGGTATGTTCAGAATGAAACATAGATTTATTAATTTTCATCGAAATATGATGGTTGTAAATAAAATAGTATAATAATAATAATAATTTTATTCGCCATTTAGGTACAGTGTGTACATATGGTAAGTCATACAATGCGTAAGTCACATGATACAATAAAACCAAATTGTAGATCATTGAGTAAAAATAACAATCGTATGAATAAATGAAATCAAAACGGATCTGACGACAGCACAACACAGGATACATATTTAAAAGTGAAACGATTAACAGTATAAATAAAATCATAGACTGAGTCCAAATGACCACGACCATATATAATTAAAAGCATTGAATTGGAGTTGTATTACGGAATAGGATGACAGCACCCTACAAGTAAAATAATTCACAATAATGGATCATCCAAATATTCTTGATAGGAATAGTAACATTTGTCAGTCAGCAAACATTTTATTTTGTTACACATTCAGAATTTTTAATTTCCGTTGGCAGTTTGTTGTAGAAACTCAGTGCTTTGTAGAGAGGAGAATTTTGGAATTTCGTGGTTTTGTGGTTTGGTATTTTTAGGTGACTACCATTGCGTGTGTTGTAAGCATGCGAAGAGGCATTGGTATCGAAGGATTTCAAGTTGCTTCTAATGCATTTCAAACATTTCAAAATATAGATGGATGGAGCAGTCAACAATTTCTCTCTTATAAATATTGGTTTGCAACTATCTCGATAGTCCATATCAAATATTAATCTTACGATACGTTTCTGCCCTATAAACACTCTACCAAAATCTTTACCACATCCCCATGACATAGTGTTGAAGGAAATGTGTGAGTATACCATTGCATAATAAATGCTTAATAAACTCTCCTTGCCTACACATGTTTTCATTTGCTTAATTGCAAAGAATGCTGAATTCAGTTTCTTGCATACATGATTGATATGTAGATCCCAGTCTAACTCATCTAGAAATGTTCCCAAGAATTTTACATCTTGCGACATAACTATTTCATCAATAGCGTTTATTTCACCAGGGATATTATCTTTCCTATTATAGAATTTCATTGAAACTGAAACCTCGGTAGGAAGTTTCAATCCTGTTTCGAAATTATATATATTATAATCTCACGACAGGAATGAATCACTTCCCACCTCGGTGTGTTCGTCGTGGCATATAGCCAGGACAGTAGTTGTTTTCGGTTGAATAAACCCAGAAAGAATTGATATTTTCATCACATGGAGAATGCGAATTCTCAATGTATTTCTCTATGAATATATATCCATTTTTTTATGATCATAATTTTATCTGAGAAACATCTCATATCTGAGAATATCCCTTTGCAATAGTTGTTTTCTGTTGAATGAACCGAGAACGAATTACTATTTTCATCACATAGAGAATGAGAATTCTCAATGAATATTTTATAAATGTATCCATTCTTTTCATGTTCATATTTTATCAGAGAATATTCCTTTTCGATACTTTTTTGTAATTCAATCGAATACAGAGGGTGTCCGGAAGAGTCATGAGTCATCAATTTCATGTATTCGCAGTCGCCAAAGTCATCAGATGACTTTGCGATGACATTTGAAATAACAGGAAAACATCCTAACTCTTGGCATAGATTGAAAGTTAGCCATGTTTTCCCGTTTTCCACGGTCGCATTACGTTATCTTATGACCTTCACCACCGCAAATAACTTTCAAACGATTGCCATGGTATCAATGATGTTCAGGCAGGTGAATAAACTCATATATTTATACTAATAGTCCTTTCCATACGTAAACGGCTTTTCAGTGAATATGTCTATATCAGAATGGGACGAAATATTTTGGTTCAATGGAGGTATTTTTGATACAGGTGACATATTTTACTTTCATCGTAGGATTCCTTTATCTTCCATCAATAGAAATGTTATACTTCATTTTGATCGATATCTTGTACCGTCCTAGAGAAAATCGCATTTTGAAACATATACTTAATGACATCGGTGAGAACAAAGAGATTATTTAAAATGGTCTCTTGAACTCCAACGTTGTAAAGTTGTCTAAACATCTGCGTTGTCATTTTTCACGGCGTGTGCAGATGTAAGAATTCGGAATTCGATTCAAAAGCTCATCCCTTATATTCACAGGTATTCTATAGACTGAACATTCAAGAAATCCACAAATAAATAAATCAAGTAGATTAAGATCAGGTGACCGATGTGGCTATGGAAAACGGCCATTCGCGGGAATCAATGTTACCAGGTGGCGCTCGGTTTTCATCGTTCCATGTCAAAGCCACGTCAAAACTGGGGGAAAACATACTCAATCCTCACTCAATCCTATTAGTGCCATTAGCTTGTGTACTGTGTACTAATAAGAGTGATAAGTTTTTAAATTTCTTCTCATTAATTGTCAATATTCGATCGAAAACACCTGTTGTAGATGTTCTTTTGGCAGATATTTTGCTCTATTTAGATGGAAAAAGCCGACCAGTGGAAGGAGAAGCAGTTCTCCGTGCTAATCATGGGATTTTGTGTGAGGCAGAAGACTTCAACAAAAGGCACATTTTTGCACTTTGTCTACAAACTTCGGCGATGAAATCTTCCCCAAATGAAGTAATATTATTGAAGTTGGGGTCCAGAGGGACTCCTGTAGAACAATGGATTTGTATAATTGCAACCAAACTTTCAAAAATCAAAATGTCAACTAATTTCATGTCAAATAACTGTCAGCCGATATTTTCGCTGGTATGGTAATTATCATCTGCATTTATGAAAACCATATCTACCAAGATTTTTATAGTTTCAGTGACAACAACGATGTGATACTTCCCTGCCTAGTCCGGGAAATACGTTCTCCCCGAACTAGGCCGGAAAATATCAATATCAAATATCATTTGAAATCTGGAAAACGCTCAAATCATTTAGATCATCGGGGCAATGTTGCCAAATTTCTATACCCGAATGGGAAAATTACTATGATCTCATTTCTACTCCGAAAATTTCATCGGATTTAACTCTGTTTGATGCCCGAAATCCTTACTTAGATTCTCACATAACCCTTGAAGAACTTCAAATATGTCTAGCTAGTTGCAAAAATGGAAAATCTCCCGGTAAGGATGGTATAACTTATGAATTTTTGAAAAATTTGCCAAACAATTGGATGTTGTATTTATGCTCTTTATATAATAATATTCTAGATGTTGAAAATATTCCTCGAGCATGGCATGAATCAGCTCTGTCAATGTTGCACAAAAAAGGTGATCTCAATGATCCTAATAACTACCGGGGTATTGCCCTGTTGAATACACTCGCCAAATTATTTACATCAATTTTACTCAATAGATTGTCTGCATGGTGTGAAGATAATAATATTTTACCGGAATGCCAATCAGGTTTCAGAAAAGGAAGAAGTTGCGCTGACAACATATTTACTCTCCTCTCAATTTTACAAATTCATCTCCGATTACGAGGCAGGAAAATTTTTGTAGCTTTTGTTGACTTCAAGAGAGCTTTTGACTCGGTCAATCATCAGTTGCTCTGGCTTAAATTATTTGATCGAGGGATAAGCTCTAAATTCATCAGAATTATAAAAAAATTATACGATGATGCATCAACTTGCGTGAAAATACAAAATCAATACAGCAAAGAATATAGCGTTTCGCAAGGAGTTCTTCAAGGGGAACCACTCAGTCCCACCCTGTTTTCTCTTTTCCTCGCGGATATTGAGGAATACTTTCTCAATAAAGGCCACTCTGGCGTGAGCATTGACAACTCACACAGCGCTCTATTACTGCTGTATACTGATGACTTAATCATATTTAGTGATTCACAAGTTGATCTTGCTCGCAAATTGAAAACTCTGGAAGAGTATTCAGCAGAGAATAAGTTGACCGTCAACACTCAAAAAACAAAAATTATGGTGTTCTGCAGGGGTGGGTACCATTTCAATTACAATAATAAATTTTATCTCTACAATGAACCATTGGAAGTTGTAAAAAAGTACTCCTATCTTGGGGTGATATTTTCTTCTTCTACTTGTTTTCTCGAAATGTCTAAGGATACCGTAACTAAATCAAATCGTGCTATCGGGGCTGTTATGAATATCATGTGCAGATCTAAGATTAACTCATGGCACGCTAGAATTAAATTGTTTGAATCCATAATTGTGTCATCCCTTGCATATTCCATTGGAATTTGGGGACTACGTTATGTTGACGTTATAGAACGGATTCAAGTTAATTTTTTCAAACGTTTACTGTCACTCCCTAAAAATACTCCAGACTATATTGTTCGTCTGGAAACTTCCTCAATAAAACTTTCTCATCTGATTTTCACTGCTGCTCTTTCACATTTTGCACTTCTCAACTCAATGGACAACCATCGACTACCAAAGCTCTGTTTTTTAAGATTGCTCAGACTCGATAACGTTGATCCTAAATACAACTGGGTATTGCAGGTCAAACAATACTTCTCTTTTGC